AAGGCATGGGAAGAAATTGCTGAAGTATTAAACAACGAAGGATACATTGTAACAGCCAAACAATGCACGACCAGAGTAAATACTATGAAAAGAACATACAAGAATGTGAAGGATCACAACAATAAATCTGGAAATAATAAGCGAACGTGGAAATATTATGATGTTAGTATACGATGTATACATGTATAAAATAGTGACACTATCTTTTTTATTTCGACGAAAGTTAATAATACTGTGCATAAACTGTTCAGGTGATGGAGAATCTTCTCGGTGAAAAGCCGTATATAACACCAATGTCAACTATTTCGTCTACTGGCGCAGAAACACACAAAGCAGCAAATACGAGCTTGTCTATTGCTACAGAAACAGAAGTAGTAGCAAATACAAGCTTCTGCAGTTCTTCTGACGATCAATCTTCCAAATCCAATGTTAGAGTGTCTCGTAAGTCAGCATACATTTGCATTATGATTGAAATTAAGAATTACTTTTAATAATTTGATACAAAACTCGATGCTTACTACTACGGCCATTGTAGACTATGTATAATACTCTAATCCAAGTTATAGTAAAGCTAGTTCTACATTAGTTGCAAACAGTCGGTTGCGACTTGCGATAATTAATGAGCATCGCATTACATAAAGCTCAACGCTCATTGGCAATCTTAAATCGCAACTAATTACTTGCGATTAATGTAGAACCAGCTTTAAAGACACGTATTCTTTAGATGCACAGCTTAAAAAAATATTTTTATGTATATTTGCAGGTAAACGAAAGGGTGATGCAACGATGGACCAAAAAACTATGGAAGAAAATAAGGAGAGAAGACATAAGGAAAGGCTACAATCAAATGAAAAAATAATGAACAAGTTGGATCAACTACTCGAAAGACTATCACGTTAAAATGCGACGTTACTCTGCACACGATGGTGACACAACACGATCCTGGAATCGCTGACGTCCTGTTAATACATAGTCTACGAAGTTGTCTTTAACGCTTTTGGACCAAACACATTCGCTGATTAATAATTTTTTTTATCTCCAACGCTTTTGGGCCAAACACATTCGCTGATTAATTAATTTTTTTTTGCTACATTACTATTTATATAAAAACAAATTAGATTTAAATTTTGTGTTTTGTTTTTTATGTGTTTGTTTACATATTTCTTGTAATTAATATTTCTTACCATACATGTGGTAGGAAATGTGTATTACAACAAATATGTTACTTTACGTATATAATACGTAAAGATAAAGCTTTATAAGAAAGTTACAATATTAAAGAAAGAGATTTTTAAAGAATATATAATAGTTCTTTTGATGACTTAGAAATATGTAATACAGAAGGAGTCTTTGTTAAGCAGATGTGTATGTAACACTTGTCGCGTTCTACGAATATTTCTATAAAATATGCTCACTGAGTTGCTTGTCTTTTATTATAAAAAATTTTTTATACTATTGCGCTTTGTTTATTATGATACATATATATTATCTTTCGCATACTATGCTTGTTTCAGGCAATACTGTATACTGGTATAATTTGCAATTGATATCTAATAAAAAAAAATAATTGTAAAGAAAACGAATTATTTTTTTTACTTGTGCGTAAATGTACCGGACAGAAAGCAGATAAGTTAGATATTTTATTAATGTTATATGAAATAAAGTAATAATTATGAAAGTAAAATATAGAATCAATTATAATCAGTATTCTCATTATTCTATGAATTTATTTGTGGTTCTAGTGGGTTGTAGAACAGTTGTATTAAATTAAACTTTACATGAGTGCAATAGAAAACAAAAAAAAAAGAAGCAAGATACTAAATTAGTAACAAGTGTAGTGAGGGAGCCAATTGACGTTTTAAAATTAGATAAGAAATGGAAAGGTAAGCTATGTATACTTAGCAGACTAACTTTGTACGAATTCTACAAAGGCATATATGTATATATTGGTATGTACAGTTTAATATTATAAAACTTGTATTTAAACCATTTATTTTGAAAACAGAGTAACTGAAGTTTACAAATATTATATATAAGTACTTATACATGTCTCATTCTTAACGTTTGGCATATACGATCTCTTTTGGCAACAGCTGCTCCAGGAAGAGGAACATTTTCATCCGCTACATTTGCTTCTTCGCCTTCTTCGTCCACATTTATTTCAATATCTAATTCATCACTTCTCATCAGACAAATATTGTGTAATATGCAACACGCAAGAATGTGCATAGGGATTAGATCAACCCGATCCATTGCAAATGTGGTTAAAAGACATCGGAATCTTTCTTTCAATATCCCAAATGCTCTCTCTATAGCAATTCTTGCTGAAGATTGACAAAAGTTGTAATTTCGTTATCTTTCGGTTAGGTGACCATTGTCTCAATACGGTACAAGTAAATTTTCATGCAGCTTATATGCTTGATCGCCGACTAAATGGCTATCTTGAGGAAATCTCGTTTCATCTCCCAAGTAATGTTGAACTTCAGACTGGCGAAACACACGCTGATCATGGACAGATCCGACATGTCCAATATAACAGTGAGTAAATAGACACTTATGGTCACAAATAGCCTACACAGTAAAAAAAAAGAAATTGTAGTTTAAATTTTCGCAATTCCTTGATATCGTAAGTATGAAAGGCCACATCTTGGAACAGTATTATGCCGACGTTTCGATAACATTTAGCCATTCACATAAAAAATATATAATTACATAAAATTTGATAACAAACAATTGGAATAAAACACTAAACATACCTGAATTTGAATGGAGTGACGACCTTTTCGATTTATGTAACAATGAGGATTCTTTTTCGGAGCTGGAATGGTAATATGGCTTCCATCGATGGCACCAATTATTTTTGGAAAACTACTCGTGTTTCGAAATCCCTCCCACACTTCATGTACTCGTTCTCCCGTAGGCCATTTAATTATGACGGGTGCAAGGTCAACAAGTGCCTTAACAACTCTTCTTGTTATGTACAGTGCAGTACTTCTACCAACATTAAAACGTTCACAAATAGACCTAAACATAAAAAAACGCATGTAAAAAATTACATAGCAAACTTAACAAGAGTTACATTTGCGACAAAAATAGCTTTCTATGCACCAATGATATTTATACATAAAGAATGAAATCCTTCATACAGTATGAAAATAAAAGTGTTAAAATTATTTTATTGAACACTATCATTGCAATATATGAACACTTACCTAAACGAATCTGGAGTAGAGAGTCGCCATAATGCCAAAAGGAACTGTGTGCGTGGAGAAATCATTGGTGTTCCAAATGTTGTCCTTTGTAGTTTGTGCTCTATACAAGATAGAACATAAGCACAGGTTTCAGGAACCATCCTGAAATCACACATTATGCATATACATAAATACAATATTTCTATTTTAGTAACATTATTAAAAATTACATAACTACAAATAATTACAAAATATGACTTGTATATATGTTACACACACACACACACGCACGACGCACGCACGCACGCACAAATACATACACACACGCATGCACACATAAAATAACTCCGTATAAAAAAAATTAGTAAATTATACCTGAAGTGAGCTTTAAATTGCTCTCTTGTTAATGCTGGTATTATTTGTTCAACATAATTTTCAATTCTAGCAACCTTTCTTCTTGGATTCCTTATTACTTGTACTTCTTCTTCGTCATCACTTTCAGATGAATAAATTAAATTACGCAGTACCAGCACTGCTGCTGCGACAATTACTTCTTCTTCTTCCATTTTTTTAGATTCGGTTATTACTAATTTTAAATAATAAAACGTAATTCAATGACTTATAAACACAACTGCAAATAGACCAAAAATCCATGTTAAGAATAACGAAATGTCGCATTTATATTATGTTTATGATAGTAACTATTACTACGTTTCCTTCGCGTAAACGGGATTTTGTAGTAACTTACGATAATTTACTCCGCGTAAACGAGTAAATTATAAGTTACAATAAAAGTAGCGCTCGCGTAAACGTAGTAAATGTCGCATATACAAAACTTATAAGTATACAGGAAGCAGAAATATTAACGCTCGAACATACAGGAATGTGACTCGGCAAAGAGTAGAACACAAAACGACGCTAGTTAATATTTTGCCGGAAAAATTCGACCAGCAAAACCGCAAATTTGAAGATTTTTTCAGTAAACAATATTCTCGAGTTAGCTGCAAACAGTAAAAAATATAAGTCAACGGTTAGCAGGATGGCATTTATGTTCACAATTATTTATATTGTATTAATGTATGATTTTCATGCAAAGTATACGTAACAGAGCAGAAATAAAGTGTGATTCGGTAAAAACTGCACTTCAATCCTAACCTGATTCGTATGTATTGTATACATACATGCGGTCACCATGCGTTCGGGGAGACACCACCAACGCTATCAACGCTTAACGCTATTCGTGCACTACCTCTTTGGCAAGAGCGTCGGTAGCGCGAATTATGACGTCAAAACGCTACCGACAGTGACGTCACGATGGCGTTGGTTGGATTGGTAGCGTGCTCCCCGAACACCGATAGTGCCGAATAGCGCTAATAGCGAGCTCCCCGAACGCACCCTATATATAAGTATGTCACACTCTGTAACTTAAACCGTAACTAACACGTCTGAACACGACGGTGATCGAGGCTCTTGTGAGCACCACTGATGCCCGCACACACGCGTGGCGCGCCGAGTCGCGCCGCCAACCGGGAGCTACCCTCTAGAAGAACGGGAACTTATTGCTCGTTCAAAGTCTTCTCCCAACACTCCCTCCCTTTGTGCAAGCAATCCACGGGTCCTCTCTAAATTTCCTCTTTATCTGAAACATAACAAGAATTAGTTATCGACTAAAATTAATCTCTAACTCTGTTTAAACTCTATATTCATTATTTTATCTCTCAGATACACAAATGCTTCGAGAGGTAAAGGTTTTGTCATAATGTCTGCCAAATTCTCTTTGGTCTTAATCCATTCGACTTTCACCTTCCCTTAATCAACACACTGCTTGATAAAATCTCCATGAGTGTCATCCATATGTTTTCTGTTTCCAGTTTCTTCTTTTTCTTCTAAGTTTTTCTTTAGTTCCTCTAAGTCGTCATCAAACATTTTAAGTTTGTAACTTCTATCCTTCTTAGTGCAGTTTCTTGCTGCTCTGTTGTCATGACTCTATAAATTTTCTCGTGCTTGGATACCAGAGTATATAGTATATATCCAGTGTCAGTATATCCCACCAACACACTAATAGCTGTCTTGTCGAATTTTGACGTAGGCTTTGGTACTCTTGCATATCCAATGCATCCGAATTTCTTTATTTGTTCAAAATGACAACTTGTTTCTGATGAAAACTTTTTCAACGAGATCTCGTACTCTAAAGTATTATGTGGAGATCTGTTGTACGCATGCACAGCAGCATCAACTGTCAACTCCCACATACTCTTTAGTAATCCCGAGTCGAGCATATATGTTCTTACTTTCTCTTTCAACGTTCTGTTGAACCTTTCTGCAACTTCATTGTGTTCTGGAGTGTACGGTGATGCAAATATGGCTTTTATCTTTTCTCTTTTTAATACCTCTTTAAAAGCACCTCCCGTAAATTCCTTGTCTTGATCTGACTTTGCATAGCATAGCTTTTCTTCTTTTCCTAGTAGATTTCTGGCGGATATAAGATATTTCTCTAGAGCCTCTCCCGATTCATCTTTTGTCTTCAGAGAGTAGGCTTTTGCTAATCTAGAATAGTCATCTATAAAAGTGATTATAAATCTCTTTTGTCCTGGATAGGATGTAGGTTTTATTGGACCCATGATGTCCGTATGTATTACCTGTAGTGGTTTCTGTGCTCTATTTCTGTTTTCTTTAAACGGCAGTTTTGCCATCTTTGCCATTATACATACTTCACACTCTAATATGGAGTTATCAAACTTTACATTCTCTAATCTCTTTTCTACTTTTTGTAATTGTTTTAGATAGTTTAACGATGCATGACCCAATCTAACATGCCATAACATCACCTCATTTATTTTCTCTAGTTTCTTTCCTTTTTCAATTACTGAGTTTTCACACATTTCTTCTATATTCTCTATTGTCTGTATATCCTCCAACTTAATGACTTGCTCGAGTTCAGCATTGTTGTGTTCTATATTTTCGTTTTCGTTCACATTTGTGAGCTCTCCTTCATTCTCCCTCCCAATCGCAGAGCCAACATTATCCCTCTCATCTAACTCTCCCTCCGAAATTGATAATTCATTGGTCTGAATGTTTGCTTGCGATTGTTCAGGAAGCTCACTATGTGGAACAATTTCTGCTCTACATCTGTAAATTCCTTTAAAAACTATTTTATTTGTCAGTTTATTGTAAACTTTAAACACTTTATCATCTAAATAAATACTGAACCCTGCATCAGCCAACTTTCTTAGATATAGTAAATTTTTGGATACTTTCTTTGCTGCAATTACATTTGTTAATTTAATGACTCTCTTTTCTTTTTTATTCGTTATTAGCGTAATATTTCCTTTACTATTTATTGAAATGTTTGCAAGCTCATTTTTATTCGCGAATTTAATAACTCTATCTTTACATTTTTCAAACTTTGACAGAATAAAATTCTTATTCACGATATGATCCGTAGCACCCGAATCTGCAGTAAAATTGACTACCTCTTTTGAACTATCTCTATCTTCTATTAATTTAACCATGTATTATTTACCTTCTTCTGATTCTCCCTCATTTGCTGTTTTCGTTGATATAGGTTTCTCGGCTGGTTGTATCTTGGTTATTTTCCCTTTGTTATCTACTCTTTTTGTGCCTTTTTGCACAAATCTACCCTTTTTCTTTATGTTTTTATTAACGGTTTTATTTAAATATCTTTTTCCTCTAGCTCTGTTCGCCTGGGCTTCGGCACTCGGACAATTATCACCCTTGTGACCTCGTACTTCCTGGCAGTAGTAACAAAACCAGGCACCAAATTCTATTAGTGGACAGTCCTTCGCCATATGACCCATTTGGTTGCATCTGTAGCATTTTACTTGTTTCATGTTCTCTTCTGCAGCAGCCCTCTGTACCTTGACTTCGGGTTTCTCTAATTTTTCTCTATTCTCGTTTTTAATCTCTGCTTCTAACTGCATCATAAAAGACTTTATTTCATCTATGTTCATTTCTTTAAGATTAGTTTATCTTCTAATTAAATCTACATTCCTCAGCTCTGGTACATTAATTGACACAGCCTGATAAAGTGCAGATCTAATCTCTTGTTCTGCGAGGGGTACCGCATCTTCACATGATTCATATTCTCTAATTATTGAATCGAAGCGTTCACAAAAATCACTTACTTTTTCGTCTTTTCTCATTTTAATTTGATAGAGTTTAGCTCGTACCGATGCATGAGTAACGTTTACTTCACTCTTTTTATATCCTCTCAATTTCTTCAAAATTTCTTTTGAATCTTTTTCATGTAGAATCCTTTTATGATAGTTTTCATCTAAATGATTGATTATTATATCTCTAACTAGACTTTTTCTCTTAGCAACTTTTAGTTCGAAGAGATTTTCTGGACTTTCAATGTTTGAATCTATTACATCTAACAACTCGTTATTCATTAACTCAGATTTTAAATAATCCATCCAAAGATCAAAGTTGGATTTTTGCGTCAGCTTATATTCTCTTCTAATATGCAACCTTTGACTGTTCAATTCCAATTCTATAGCTCTTTTCATTGTCTCTAAACTCCTATCTTTTTCGGCTGAACAGACTGTTATTTCATTTAATTTTCTCTTTTTAGACTCTACCTCTAGTTCTTTAACCGTTTGTTTACTGTTTTCTACTGAACTTTGGGTATCTTTATTGCTTACCTCTAAACGTCTAAGTTTAACTTTTTCTTTCTCTAAGTTTAAACAGGAGACTTCCACCATATTCTCCATCATCTCGGTGGCCTTCGTCATTACTTTATCCAGCATCTGCATCGAATTGTCCATTTTTGCGACCAATTTTTCTTGCTTTTCATATAATATTTTGGTTCCAATTGGCAGTATTGGACGGTTCTCTTCCCATGCTTTGGTCACATCTATATTCTCTCTGACTTTAGGCAAGTTCTTTTTCGGGATTGCACCTCTTCTTTCCATCTCCTTTTTATCTTTTGCTTCTATACGAAATTTTGAAATTACTATTTTTATTTTCTTTGAATGCATATATATAATATTCTTCTGGACTACTTTATTTTCAAAAAAATACTCTCTTACCTCTATCTTTTCTTACTGTCTCCTTGTTTTTATCTTTTGCTTCTTTATCTATTACCGTGATAAAGCTGCTATCGCTGTCGTAGTCGACCAGCGCATCTTGGCCTTCTTCTTCCATCTATATCGGGATTTAAATATCAATTGAACATTAGCATTCCTCTTTTGACAAGATAAACCAACATTTGTATTGACAAATAATAATTTACAATTTCTATCACTAGATCTCTTTCAGCGATAAAAATTTAATGCTTATGAGGCTATATAGAACGCACTGCAATTCACAATAACCCCAAAGCGAGAAAACCACGCGCCTCTGCAGGGCTATCCGCACGCGCACACCACTGTCCGTTGCGATCCCCAGCACTGCTGAAAAGATCTATGGGAGCTCGGGTTGATCACGCACACGCACGGGGCCCATACAAATTTACGCGGCTTCCCTAAACAGTAATCAAGCTACACCGCACAGCAAGTCATGCTCAATTACCGACCCGATACATATCGATTTCAAAAAAAATAAACTCATATAGAGTCATATAGAGTTTTTATACATACGCATACACATACATATACATGTATCGCAATCTAGCCATCTAGCATCGATGCCATGTTGTTAGTCGAAATCGATTATGTGTTTGTGCGCGCCCAGCAACAAGTTCTGCGCGCCAAAAACAATGACTCTTGCCGTCTACGATCGGACTTCCGCGCGCCAAAAGAAATGACTCTCGCCATTCACGATCGGACTTGCACGCGCACGTCGTCGACTTGCTACCAAGCGGCATTTTTCTATCTCTTTTTCCTTTATCATTCTCTACTTCTTTATTACACTTTACACATCTATTCTCTAATTTTCTTATTACCATTATTACCTCTATTTCTATTTCTCGAGAAAAATGGCAAAAACATCTATCTCCTTGTAACAGTATTTATCGAACGAACATTCTTATTAAC